AAATGATGATTTTGTTTGTTATAACTAATGCATAATTGATTGTCTTCTCAGGGCGTGAAAGGAGATGTGGGACCGATGGGCTTACCCGGACCTATGGTATAATAATCTGTCTGAAAATATACTTTATTATCGGAGTGTCGAGTAATTTAGTGTCTCATATATACGACCGGTGTTTGCAGGGAATGAAGGGCGAGTCGGCGTCCGTCACCACTGATCTCATGGTATGAAACAAACAAAAACTGCTGCTATTTATTGATGTGTTTGTCCGCTAATAATAATACTCATCCATATCTTCATAATTTTATGAACAAAAATACTAAAATTGCATTTCAAAGCTAAATAATTGTAATAATAATTTTTAAAAATCTCTTTTTATTTAATGTTTCATTTTGTCTATCATTTCAAACAAATGAAATGATGAGACAAATAACGAATTTTAGAAAAACATACAAACATTTTTCCATTTTAAATATATATAAATATAAACTAATGTATTATTAATTTTATTTACACTAAATATATATAAATATATTATGAAAAACACAATTTATTTGAATTAATAAAGCGTTCAATAAATTAAATTTGAAGTGAAAACTAACAAATGCTGAATCGGATCGTGAGAGTGATTCTCAAATGCTTTATTTGCTTTTGTTGTAGTGTTTTATCGTATATTTTAGAGAATTTTATTTAAAATTATTTTAAAATTAATTAATTATTTGTTATTTACTCAAAAATGAGGAAAAAAGCATTGCATTTGTATGATATTGTGGTCATTCTGTATGATTACTTAGGGAACGCCCGGTTTGGATGGAATCAAAGTATGAAAACTATTTATTAATTATATTTATAATATTAATTAATATTGTTTTTCTTAATTAGATTTCTTGACGTTTTTAAATTCTTACGAAATTTCTAAATCAATTAAATCAGTCAAAGAGATAAACAGAAGTTTTGTTTAACAAAAACAACTTTTATTACATTACATAAAATTGTAGTGAATTTTTTATGATTTCTATTGAATGTTATCAATATTTCACCACTTTTTTGATTAACTTTTTCCAGATATTACTTGTGATTCGAGAATTATATATTTATGTCAATTATATATTTTATGTCTTGTTTTTTAATTCACAGAATCAGATAGTATTTAATCGTTTTGATAATATTATTGATATATTTTTATATTTTTAGTTTCATGAACTGATTTATGATTGCGTAAGGCTTTAGAAACTGAGAATTTAAAATCAAATCAATATATTTTGCAATAATTGAATACTGAAATGGAAAATAATGTTTGATGTGTGTTATTAATGGCAGGGAATGATAGGTGAATTTGGACCACGAGGAGAAAAGGGTGAACCAGGCCTTCCTGGCACTGATGGCATACCCGGCTTACCGGTTCGTTCAATCAATCAAATCAAACTCAAGTCAAACTCTCAAATCTATAGTTTGTTTCGTTATTATTACACAACAATCCGTTTGTGACCACAATCTATCATCACTTGCAAAATGCTTTTTGTTTGCTTTTTTAGATTTACTTTGTTTTCTATATTTTAAATTATTATAAGTTTTATTGAATACATTAATTGATAATTTTTGATGAATAAACGTTTTGACATTTGCCACACAATAGGGTCCAATCGGTCCAATTGGAAATGCGGTAATTACTGAATTTTAAACAAACATTGTTTCTCTCTTTACTATTACTAACATATCTTTATTGAATCGTTTAAAATGTTTGTGTATTTTTGTTCAATTAATTTTAAACCCAAATTAAATTAATTTAATGTTTGCCATAACAAACATAGCGATCGCTTTAATATGCCTAACGTTTAACTCATTTAACAGAACCCGAATTGTTTGCAATTTTTATTTTACTTTTTCTTCACTCATTAGTCTAACAAACCATAAGAAAACACATATAGAGAGCAGATATTTGCATATGTTTTCAATTTTGTATTTCTCTTTAATGTGCCATTCATTCAGTCATTCATTTGCAAAGTTTTTATTTTGCATTTTATTCCTTATAACTTATGTTGAGTTGATTTTTGTTGTTGTTTTCTGTCCCATATTATCGTCGAGAAAGTCTATAAATGAATTGTTATTACAAGAGATTGGGATTTGATTTCTGAACAAATATTTTTTTGTTGAGGAAAAGACTTCACATTTTATTAGTTCATGTTTGGAAATAGCAACACATTTATGTTGATTTCTCAAATGATTTAATGATTATTTTTACGCAACTTTTTTTTAAATTAGTTGTTTTTTAGTAGTTTTAAGACTCGCTGTCACATAAAATAGTCTCTTTGTTTAGATAATAAATTTAAAATAATTCATTTGAACGCAAATCAGGGCAAAGCCGGCCGTAGAGGCGAGAAGGGCTCTATCGGAGAGAAGGGTGAAAGAGGAGATCAGGTATATATCGGACATGTCTTTTATTTATTATCCACATTTATTTCCTCGTTTGCCTCTCCATTCGTTGTTATTAAACACACTGTTTATGAATATAACCCCAATTTATGATAGGGTGTCCCCGGACTCGACGCTCCCTGTCCTCTAGGGGTAAGTGTCAGTACGCGATAGACACGATACAGAGCGCTGTCCACCGCACCGACCACTCTATACCCACTATTGAGTAGAGTCTAGTCTAGAGTAGACGACAGTTGAATATATGATAATANGTCCTCTAGGGGTAAGTGTCAGTACGCGATAGACACGATACAGAGCGCTGTCCACCGCACCGACCACTCTATACCCACTATTGAGTAGAGTCTAGTCTAGAGTAGACGACAGTTGAATATATGATAATAAAGCCCATCACTGATTGCAAGGGTTGGCAAACCAATAGCCGGTGCAGTGGAAGCGATCTGATTGTAAAACTCCAATTGACCCGAAAGTTAGTGATTATAAAACTTTATTCTGTAATCTAATGCACACATGAATAGATGGACGGACTCCCACTGCCGGGCTGTGGCTCCAAACTATTCTCTGGCGTAAGTCCAGCCAATTCTCTCATACGATAACATTTACTATAAATAAATATAATTATCTGATGGCTATATTTACTTCAAAAAGTTTGATATCAAATATCTCTCAATAAATGAAAATAATTTGTCAATAAAATGTAAAAAATCTAATGAAACCTCTATTGCTATGTATTGAACGGTTAGGCACCGCAACCGCCGCCCGAAGCGCCAAATTTAATCGCTTATTAAATTGTG